CGCCTCTTGTTCCCTCTCCAGAATCGGCCGGCTCTTCGACGGCACGGAGCCCATTGTCCTCGACAGTCTCAAGCAACACTACTTCATCGACAGAGATGGGCAGATGTTCAGATATATCTTGAATTTTTTAAGGACGTCGAAACTCCTCATTCCTGATGATTTCAAGGTGAGATTTCAAGGGACTTGGGTGTTTTGCACGTACCTTGGTAAAGCAAGTGTCTGGCCTGTAGTCAAAACAGAGCCCTAGACGAGGAGGTGGGGGACGGGAGCACGGTGCTTGCTTTCGGGTGCGTGGCAGAAGTACGCCTGGGGTTGCTAAAGGGGCATCTGTCAGCCTCTCCGAGAGCGGTGTCAGTAGTAAATTTTCCCCTCCTGGCTCTAACATCGTGCCGCAACCTTGCCATGTTTGGCCTAGGGAAACTAGATGTTGTAGGATGCTGATGGAGACAGAAAGGATGTTACAGTCTGGAGCCGACTGCTCATGAGCTTGGCTGGTTTCTTGTCCTCTCATCTGCTTTTATGCTTCCCCTCTGATTGCGGCAGCTCCAGCTTCCACTCCCACGCTGAAATTCAGAGAATGGTGTGGGAATCACAGTATTGACAAAACAAACTGCGCACATGGTGATATTTGAGCATTGTCATAGAATATTTTCTCCCCCAGACTCTTGAATGCATACTGCAATACTTCATTTGGGAGTTTTAGAAAAGTCAGGGATGAATAGTTCCACGTTTATTATTTAAACTTTATAGTATATAAAGAGCCTGCTTTTTTCTTTTTAATAACAAACTAAGTTTGTGGTAGTTCACCCTGCTAGCTGTTAGCCTACAGGGGCGGAGTTCAGCCTCTGCGCGCTGCTCTGTGTCCAGCCGCGTTTAGCTGTGCGGGGTGGGGGGGTGGTGGCAGCGAGTGGAGCGCTGGGGACCCGCGGGGGCGTTCAGAACAGATCTTTATCCTCCCTTCATGGGCGCCTGTCCGCCGGGCTGGCTGTGCCACTGGTTCCCTGTGGGAAATACGGCGATGCGGACTGGAGAGGTGACGGGGAGGGGTCAGAGGAGTTCACGCTGGCGCGCGGTCTTTTATCCCTTCTATCTGAGGCAGATTTTCGGGTGTTTGGGACATAGTGGGTATGAGGCTGAGTTCAAGAGCCGTACTGCAGCGGCCTTTGAATCATCTGCTGCAGACACACACTTGCTTCTCCCGTGCGTGACAAGGGTAGGTCTGCCTGAGCACCGTGGGCGTGTGGAACCAGGAGATAAGCATCTGCTCCCTCTTTTGAAGCCTTGGCGTGGTTTTGTGCTGCTCTCAGCACTCGTCCTGAAGGTGATCAGAAACGCAGAAAGAGGAAAAGCCACCTCCCGTGCCATGTTAAGGAATTATACATGCAGAGCCTTTTAGCACATAAATGCACTGTAGCTGTGCTGAAATTAAAAATGGAACTGCTGGCAAGTTCACCCAACCAACACGGGGTTCAAAGGGGTTTCCTTCCCAGTTACGCTTTAAGGTGTCCTAAAGATCGGTGTTTAAAATGAACAGCAGTCCTTGTTTCTCAGAAATATACAGATTAGATTACTTTTTCTTACACGTTAAATGTAAGCAGTACCTCGAGCATGGTTTAGGTGTCCCATTCTCATAAAGCAGTCTGTCTGTAGCTCAAATTCAGGGCCCTCTTGCCTGTCAGCAGTCTTCCTTTGTTGTCACTCTCTTCCTCTGTCTTCCCCAATTCTCATGTGTTGCTTTTCTCCGTATAAAAAATTTCCAAATGGTTTTACGCTCTTAAACCTAGAAAAACAAGATTTATTTTATTTTTTTTTTTCATGTAAAAAATGGCAGTAGACAGACTCCAGATCATCAGTTCTAAATTACTTCTGTACTGGCTGTGCTTAGAAATGCATTCTCTCTGCTCTGACGTTTGAGACAATGTAGTAAACAATACTGTCGGCAAAATGGGGAGGTATTAAAAAATACTTAATTTTTAAAATGCAGTAATATGTGCAATTCATTATGCAAATATCTGGATCATTTTACACTTAGAACCATTGCAGGCTCCCTCATTTAAATTCTTATACCTGTTACAGTGCCTGCTAGTATTGCTGTAAGACGCGATGGATCCTAGTGATGAATTTTCTGAATCCTGATTGAATTCTGTTCCATCTGTTCAATGAGGTCATTATTCTATGACATCACTGTGGGGATGAAATACGGGGAAAAGTGTGATTTTTGCCTGGATAATTCCATAGCAGGAGGGAGTTGAGCAAGCACAGCCTCCCCCTCCCCTCACGACGGCTGCTATACCCAGTCTGTTCAAGTGGCTGGTGGTTATTTTTCGCCTGCGCCGTTACTTTATTACACCTCCCTCCCCAGTAATTACCAGCTGTGTCTGAAGGGTTCCAGATCCAGAGCGGCATCAGCCTGAGTAACCACGGACATTAAGCGGTGCGCTAGCAATGCCTCTTCCTTAATTGTGCACGGTGATATACGTGTCTTTCAGGACTACAGTTTGTTATATGAAGAAGCAAAGTATTTCCAGCTTCAGCCCATGCTGGGAGAGATGGAAAGGTGGAAACAGGACCGGGAGAGTGGCCGCTTCTCAAAGTCTTGCGAGTGCCTGGTGGTGCGAGTTGCCCCAGACCTTGGCGAGAGGATTACGCTGAGCGGCGACAAGTCGTTGATAGAAGAAGTGTTTCCAGAGATCGGTGACGTGATGTGCAATTCTGTCAACGCTGGCTGGAATCACGACTCGACGCACGTCATCAGGTTCCCCCTGAACGGATACTGTCACCTCAACTCAGTGCAGGTAGGAGGTCCCGTGTGCGTTTTCGGGAAGGCAGCCTGCTGGCCCGGCGCCGGTGGGTTGACCCTCTTCCCTGTCACCGGAGCCTTTTGGTGAACAAAACGAACTGGAGACTTTGAGCTAGTTATTTCGTTCTCTGAAGTCAGGGCTGCTGTCTCGACTTAATTCACACAGACCATCACCAAGTTTCTTTTCAAGCAAACTACAGTAGTGTTAAAAACCTGCTCCAGGAGATATAGGTTTGCCTCAATATAAAGACATTGCACATTTGGAGAAACATTTTTGTGACATTTGAATATAGGTGACCATTAAAGCCTGCTTCCAGTCCCTTGCCCTGCTCATTATAAATTGTTTTCTGGCTTAATGAGAGGGCGCAAGGATGTCTCGAGGCAGGGAGGGGAGATGCCACATCCCCACGGAGCCTGTTGTGAGGGTGCCTGGAGCTGTCCTTCCACCTGAGAAAGGTGATGTTCTGATTTGCCAGAGTCCAGAGGAGCTCTGAAACTAAACAGGAGGAACGGAGGAGGAAAAAGTAGTAGTCCCGGTCTCTTATTCTGGGTGTAACAAGTGAGAAGTGAGGGGAAAGGGGAATTAACGTGAGAAAGAGATGATGGGACCTTAGCATTGACCAGCTACTGAAAGGAGGGGCCACACTTCCACAGAGGGAGAACACAGCCAGCGTCCTCCTCCTTTCTTCTCCCTCCTCCTGAAAAAGGACCTGGTATTTCTGCAGAAGGGAGCAGCCTGTGGCCACAGCAGAAGGCGTCTGGCAAGTCTTACCCTCGTAGAGGGGACTTTGCCTCAGCCCCCTCTGCTGTCCTTCAGACTGGGACACCTTAGGGAGACTTCGACCCTTCAACGAGACTGCCAGGCAAGGCATGTCATGGGAAGGGAACAGTGGGGGAAAGTTACTACAGGTGTGGTTAAAAACTGGTGCGTCCTTGTTCCAGTGTTACCCAGGTCTCTTGCGTTTGATAAAGACCCCTCTAATACTTCCTGAATAAATCCCCATCTACTTTTTACTTTGGACAAACACGTTCAGTCTTCCGCCTCGCTCTGGTAACAAGCCCGAAGCCACGCCTGCTTGTTGCAAACAGGGACCTGTCCATTCCTGCGGTCTCAGGGAAGACCCTCCTCTCTCCCTTTCAGCAGTTCTTCCTAATTTTCTTACGGCATGGTGAAGGCCTGTTGCAATAGGACAAGGGGTAATGGTTTTAAACTAAAATAGGGTAGATTTAGACATGATGTAAGGAAGAAATTTTTTACAATGAGGGTGTTGAAACACTGGACCATGTTGCCCAGCGAGGTGGTGAATGCCCCATCCCTGGAAACATTCCAGGTCAGGTTGGACAGGGCTCTGAGCAACCTGGTCTAGTTGAAGAGGGACAAACTAGATAACCTTTGAGGGTCTCTTCCAGCTCAAACCATTCTGTGATTCGATGTAGCAATATCTAAAATCAGTAGTGAACGAAATGGGTGAGAAAAAGTCTGGGAGACAAGTGCAGGTAACTTCTGGAATAATTATAATAAACTTGTAAGTTATAGTGTGATCTGTTTTATCCTTTGTGGGTTAAAACCAAACAAGCTCACACACCTGTCTCCAGCTCGTTAGCACATCCTGCACAGCCAGCACTTTGGAGCGAGAACGCTCCTTCACGTCTGGAGTTGTCGCTAGCTCTGTTGGCGCTGTGTGGTTTAGATACGCCTCCTAAATGCTGCAGACTCGTGAGTAGTTTCTCACACGGAAGAGACTTGCGAGCTGAGCTTGGCCTCTTTCCATCCGCCGGGTCCCGCTGTCCAGGTGCGGAGGCTCTGCTCTCCCCAGAGGAGGGGAGCCGAGCGCCGCAGTACGCGCAGAAGGCACAGCGTGCATGCCAGCGCGTAACACAGGCATCTGGGCAGGCCGATCTAGGCCTATCAAGATAGGGTTAACCCCTGTTGGGCTTGCACAGTTGTCTCTTACTGGCCTTTGCTGTCCGGCTGAAACATCAAAGCTGTTTTGTCGCAGTGACTAATGCAAATTCAGACCAGCCGTAGGTGTAAGAGTAGAGCTGAAGAGGGATAGGGCTTCCAAGGAGGGTGGTTCAGCCACATGCCGTATGGAAGCTCTCAAAGCAGTTGTATCCTTTAGCTGCTGCTGACTGACTCCGGTGCTGACATTTTTACCACACGAGAATTGCCGAGCGTATCGACTGATGTGGACAACTCGAATCAGAGCGGCGAAATAGGCACAGGCGTCAGGAGAGATGGTGATCCCACATGGATATTGCTGCAGCTTCCGTTCTGGAGGGACATAAGCATCTCCTGGTCTGTATAACAATGCGGGGCAGGACAGGGACTACCAGTAGACCTGGAGAACGAGGTACAGACCAAAAGGTCTGTCCAGGCCTGGGCTGGTTTCCTGACCAGTTGCTTCCACCACATTTTTTCTCAGGACCTAAGTTCTCCTGCTTTATTGTTTCAGTGGCTTCCACTGAGACATTTGTGGGGGATTTTGGCTTATATTATTAAAAGCTAAAGATCCGGGTAAACAAAAATTGCGCGGATGTTTTGATGGTCGCTTTCAAGTCTCTTTTCCCACCCCCTCCTTTTTGAGATGTGCTGTGCAGTTAGCCGTGCTCAGGTATTCTGGAAAGACATTTGCCAGCCTGAAGCAATACATGTGAAGACGTGGCATGTCTCTCTCTTTAAGCGTTTTTAACCCACAGCTCGTTTCTCCCCTCACCCCAATCCTCTGCAGCCTTCTGCTGCTCTGCTTGCCCTTGCTGACCCAGCACGCATGCAAGCCAGTTTGCTAACTGGTGAAATGGCTGGGCGAGACTCGGTAGGTACCTGCTCCCAGCACAACCCCAGTGAGGTCTGGTCATGGTGGACAGAGGGTCCTACATCCTGTGGGGTACGGGAGCCTCAGCCCCTCCTTGGGGCCGGTGACCATCACGGCTGACCCTGGTGAAGCCCTGGAAGAGTCTCCTTCACGGGTGAGGCGAACAGATGGGCAGCAGAACAGATGAAGGTGATGATGAAAGCAGCAAAGAGTGTAGAGAAGGGGCAGAATGCCTCAGCCCTGCGGTTACAGCCTGAACATGGGTAATTAAAAGAAATACAGAGGAACAGCAGTGTGGAAGGAGACCACGTTCTTGTCCCGGAGCTGGTGCTGGGAGCTGAGGGCTTTGCACCATCATTTGTTGGGTGAGCTCTGTCGGGCGCATCCCCCTGCTGCTCCGAGAGCCCTGCCTGGCTCTTCGTTTTCCTTGTGGGTCTTTTTTCTTTCCTTTTTTTTTTTTTTTTGCCATTGTATTTCCCAGTGGAAGCACCACTCAGGTTGTGAAAAGGAAGGAAAGGAGGAGAATAGGCAGAACTCATTAGTCCCATAATTAAAGTTAAAAGGTCCCAGGTTTTACCACAGGTAACTGAAGCCACAAGCCGTTGTCACGGTTGGTTTTTAAGTCTCTAGAAAATACGACGGTAGCTTTTCTGAAATTACGACAGCAATATCTGCGTTGTCACCGTTTAGTTGAGGTGTTTGCTCAGCATCCTCCAGCATCTGCTGTGCAATCCTGTGCTTGCCCTTTTGTGTTGTAAATTTTGTGGAGCAGAGAATGCGTTTTTCCAGGCAGGTTTCTGTGGCTAAAAGAATACTGGATTTGCTAAAAGTACTAAAAAAATGAAATGTATTTTTCTTCGTTTCGCTTCTTATTGCTGAGTGGCCTAAGCTAGCAGAAGTCAGTCCACTACAATGACGCTGAAGGAACCAGTTAGCAGATGTGTGTAACCATTTTTGTTTCCTGGCTGGATCCGTTTGGAAACAGCAGTTATCACCCTCGAACAGCACGTGGTCTGTTTATTTACTCATACATTGGCGCTTGTTTCCTCTTTTTTGCAGGTACTTGAGAGGTTACAGCAAAGAGGTTTTGAGATTGTTGGCTCGTGTGGAGGTGGGGTGGACTCTTCCCAATTCAGTGAATACGTACTGAGACGAGAACTCAGAAGGACATCTCGTGCACCCTCCGTCATTCGAATAAAGCAAGAGCCTCTGGACTAAAATGGACGTGTTTCTTTATGCAAAAAAAAAAAAAAAAAAAAAAAAGGAAAAGAGAGAGGGGAAAAAAAGGGGGACGTTTCATGTGCAGTTTGGACTCCAAACGTTTGAAGTCCTGGAACTAAAATTGAATAAAAGACACATTTATATCAAATATAGAGACCACACCTGAATTCATATGGGAACATTTGGAATAGTAGTAATAATAATAACCTCAAGGTGTAAAAGGAAACACACACACACACACACATATATATTAAAAATATGTATGTATATGTATGTATGTACATATATATATGTATGTATATGTCAAAGGGTAGGAAATGCAACGACAGAAATGTGGTAAATGGGGTTGGTGCTTGCTATGATGGCCATTAAGTGTCCTAGGCCTTACTCGGGCCCGCTTAACGGTGTACAAGCCCTTGCCATGGGGGATACGTAGGCTACTCTTCACCCACTCTCCGTTGCCGAACAGCCATCCACTTTTTAACGTGTACACACCTTGACTCAACTTTATTTGCGTATGGAGGTTTATGTCTGTCTTTTTTAGAGGTGGATGGGCAGGTGTTCAGGAGACGACCATCCATTGCAGTGGAAAGCTAGTCGACTGAAACTTTAAATGTAGTTTGTACAGAAGTCGCACACTTTTTGTCTGCCCTCACAGATGTGAAAGGTTAACTTTTCTTTTGAATGAGTTTTTTTTTTCCTGTTGTTTTTGTTTTGTTTTGTGTTTTTTCAAAGGGGGCCAGAATAATTAATATTTGGTAGAGATGCTCTGGTTTGAATCTGCTGCTTTCCTACAATTTTTTCAAATTTTATAATGTATTAAATACAATAAAGTCTGTTTAAAGTAACGAGGGTCTGATTTAAGCCAACAGAAGCAGAAAGGTGGGATTTAGCTCGCTGCACCCCAGGGCACGGAGTCGTGGCTGCTCCGGCAGCGCTGCCGCGCGCAGTGGGGTGAGTTAAAGGCAGCAGGCTCTCTCTGGCGTGCCGACCATGGCTGCTCTCCCGTCAGCACTGTCCTTTTGAGGCTTTGGCCCGGTTTGAAGAGAGGCTGTTGGTCAGACTTGAGCGTAACACCAGCTCAGCCCAGGGAAGCCCGTCAAAAACTGCCGCCTGGTTCTGTACCCTTTGATGTCACGGCAAATAGCTGCGTTCTTCCCTCTTGACTAAGGAGTTGGCAACTTCAGCTCTCCAAGCCCTTGCCCTGCTGAGTGTTAGTCAGCCTGTCTGGTTTTGTCGTGGTTCATTTCCCTCGGTTAAAGCTAGTGGTGTTCTGCCTAGAGAGCGAGATGGTCAGCCCCTCGTGTGACGCCATCGGCCGCGTTGCTCTCGGGAGCAGGTGGTGAGTCCATGTCCTGCGTTGAGTTGTTCTCTTGCAGAGTCTCACCGAGGCCACCTCTGCAGCCGCCTGGTTCGGGACGGTGAGATTTTGCAAAGATGCCACGTCACGATACCGCTGCACGGACCGTTCACGGGTTGATGCTTTCACCGACTAAGATGCACCAGCAACCGCCACCTTTCCTCCAAAGTACCTTTTTATGCAATATTCCAGACTATGACTGTGTATTCATCCTAGTATGGAAGTTTCTATCGATGCAATGGTGCCGGCGTTCCATTCATTTTGGGGACACTTTGCTATTTATTTAAGAAAAAAAAAAAAAAAAGAAATTGTTAAATACATGTAACAAGGTTTTTAATATACTCTGATAACTCAAAAAAAACCGCTACCATTTTTCTGGTTTTTATTAAAAGATGTCAGAGGGCATAGCTAAATAACTCTCTGGCAGCACACATCAATGGTTTTGAAATTACTGAAATTTGGAAATGGGGGAGGGAGGGGGCTCCAAAAATTAAGGCTCATTAGCAGGTTATTGGATCTTCAATGTGATGCTGATTTGTCTATTCACAGCACTGACACAGCTGCCTCGTTGAAAATGCTTGTTTTCAGTTAGCAGCAAGTAGTCCTCTTACGAAACAAGCGCTTGCCCTTGCTGCCCACGGTTTGGTGGTTAGTTTGCGCAGAAGCCAGAAAGCTAAAACCCTGGGAAATAAATATTTTTAACAAATCTTCAAACCGTTGGAAGTGGTGTGAAATTGGTGATGTCAAAAAAGATGCCGGTCCCTGTGGGTTGAGAGTACCTGGGTACCAGCGCGAGGCGACGTGATGTTTCAGAGGCTGTTGGCTGCGGAAACCCCCCCTGCGCCTCCCCGGGGAGCCTCCCCGCTGGGGCGGTGCTGGCGCTGGGGGTGGGCCCGAGGGGACCCTCACGCAGGCCGGCCCGGCCCGGCCCGGCCCGCCGCCATGTTTGCCTGCAGGCCTGTGCCCCGCGGCAGGCCGGAGCCTGG